AATTTAACGGATGCAACCCGACTTTCATCGATACACATTTACAATAGAGTTTCGAATATCTAACCAAAACGTCGAACGTATCTGTTGTTCGAGTTTTCCTCTTTTTTCTCCGTTTTTTCTTCTTTTTTTTTTTTCTTCTCTCTTTGCTTTTTCGTTTCGACGGTTTGGCGGAAAGTTTACAATTTCATCGAGCCGTTTAAAGGATTAAAAGGTATCGTGGAAGGGGGAAGGGGGAGGAAAAAAAGGAATAAAAGTAAAAATAGGGCGGTGAAAATGTACGAGGCGCGAGACATGGACACGCGCGTTAGGCGGACAAATCGTAAATGGCGTGGATATCTCTCCCAGGGTGCCAATCGGGAGAATTCCGGCCCGAGTCGGATCACGTGGATCGATGTCACGAGCTTTGTTACAACAAGCCCGATGGACAATTATCGTCACACGTGTCCTCTTGTGACGTGCGAGCGGGGAGGGGTCGACAACGGCCGACCCGAATTAGGAACGATACTGCCCGCTTCATTTCTATCCTTCCTTTTTTGCCCTCGGCCTTTTGCCTCCCCTTTTTTCCCCCCGAATGGAGATTCGTTTTATCAAACTGGCTGTTAAATTTGATACTTTCGCTCCGTGTTATGCGACGGTGTTATTTTTAATTGTACGATTTTTGTGCAAATGGAATATTCTTCTTCATTAATAATCTTTAATCTCCTATCCTCTCGAACACTTTTCTAAAAAGAAATGCTCCGAAAAATTTTAAAAATCGATTATAATCAATAAGTCAAGCGAAACTTCTGAAAAATATCCCGAAAATTGAAGAAATTGCCAGCGTGGAATATCGCTCCCGTATCGTAAATCGCAAAGATCTCGAAGGATCGTTTCACGGTTGCAATAATCGGTTGCGAAACGGGGAAAGGCAAAGGCTGGATTTCAGGAAGTCGGAAGGCGAGAGCAGCGCAACGGGAAGAGTGACGATAACGGGGTGGCAACAAGTGCTTTTAACGCCCTAACGGTTTCCCTCGCGGCGGGGTTGGAGGACGGTTCCCGATGCGTTATTCTCAAAGGTCTCGGTTGCTGCCCTTTAGGCGAGGGGAAGCGGTTATGGAGCTAAAGGGGGGTAACAGGATGCCACGTCGCGGCATCCCGAATGAATTCTTAAACGGGGCCGATGCGATGGAATGCGAGGCGGCAGCCTCATTTCCCGAGCCACCTCCACGCCTTCCCCTTCCTCTTCATCTTTCCACCGCGACCCCTTTAGCTTCAGCTCGCTTCCTTCTTCTTGGAATCTCATCTTTCTCTGGAAGGTGTTTGGAAAAAGTTTGGTGCGATTGATCGCCATCTCGTGGTTTCTGATACGATTTATCTTATTCCTCGTGTTTGACAAATGATGTACCTTTTTTTTTTTTGTTTAATAATGATTATTGTAGCAGACGTGTGATCCACTCGTCAGACTTACAATTACATGCGGTTACTGATTATCTTCGTATACTTGGTCTTTCTGTCTGGCGAATGACTAACTTGTACTACTTGCTTAATTGTCTTGTTCCACTTGTTTAACAAGTGGCTGGCTTATATTACTCGTTAAGGAAGAAATTTGAATAGAATATCTAGTAAATAATGACTGTTATAATTTACGAGTAACAATAATTGATCGTGTGCTATTTGTGTGAAAAAAAAATTATATTGTCACGTTATTCGACAAGTGATTTAATTATATTATTCATTTACGTCTGGTTTATCCATAATTTTTAAAATATTATTCAATATTAATTATTTTGTTGTTGTACAAGTGACTGGTTCTATTATTTATCAAAGAAAAGACTTTATGAAAGTATTATATTATTATTTTGTTATTCGTAATTTAATTTATGTATAATTAACAAGTAATTTATTTATATTACTTGCTATTACATATTGTCGAACGAGGACGTGTTTTTCCTTTATCGTGTTTCATTTTGTAAATGTACAATTAAATTTTTGTTATTTTAGAAGAAGATTTTAACTTTTCATTAAAATCTAATTAATAACAATAATAATTAATAACTCTTTATATATAATTCGTATTGCAATAAGAATTTTTATAGAGAAGTGAAATTATAAATAAAATATGCTAGAAGTAATTATCAGATGAATGTTGATTCATCATCTTGAATATATTTTGGTCTGTCAGTCGACCAAAGAAAGTAATATTTCGACGTACTCGAGACACTTCTCGAAGAAGAAGTTCGCAAGTAAACAAACGAAAGGGAGTAACATTTCCCCTAGCCACTTCCAGAAATATATAACTCTAAATCTAAGCTCTCAAGTGCTCCTCAAATGTCATTATATCGGTTATTGCGTTACAAGATCAAGCAATTAAGAAGAAAAGATTCTTCTAAATTTTTTAACAATTAGTTAAAACTTTCATAAATTTGATAAAAGAAAACAAAAAGAAATTTTGGAAAATATCTTCCTCATATAAGGTGTTAAAAGAAGAATTCATAATGATATTTAAAATTAAAGAATACAGAGAAATTATTTGAAATTGAAAATTATTGTCTAACAAATAATATATATATATATTATTCGAATGATATTCAAATTTATTCCAATATTTCCCAATTTAAAAGATTATAATTCAGAAATAAGAATATTTTATTATTCCAGTGCATGTGCATATCCGATATATTCTAATGTATATTAAATTTCCACCGTTTATTTTTTTACACGTATACGTTCCTTCCAGTGGAACAATGCTATTCAAATAAGGAACGATACAGTATCCCATATTTAAATAAGCTTTCCAGCTCGTGTTCGATACTCGTGAATATTCGTATGCGTATCGGAAAAAACGTCATTTTGCCGAAATTCGATTGATTTCGTTTCGACAAAAATTTTTTCCCCCCCTTCCGATTGGTGAAATTGGATTTCACCAATTGCATTGGGAATCGCAATTGAATGTTTGTCGAAATCAATTGTACGAAATAAAGTGAAATTGTTTGAAATGAAGACACTAGATTTGCATTGCGACCGTGCACGATTGGAAATTCGAAGTAACATGATTTATTTTCGTTCTATTGGATATTGCTTCCTATTATTAGGAAGAATTGATCCTCATTTTCGAAAATCTGATACGAAAACAGGAGAAATTTTTCAATTAACACTGGCTCATTGTAATTTTGATCCACGATATATCTATATTCGATTTAATTTATCTCGATAAATTGCTTAATACGAGGATTTAAAGTATCTAGATATCGAATTTCTGGATCTAAAGTGTAAATTACAAAAACCTTCATATTTTATCGAAAACTTATCTACCTTGAGAAATCTGATTTTATAATTAATAATTTATGTCGAGTATAATGAAAAAATCTTTTTAAGTGCGTGAAATCAATTTCCAAATTTTCATCATTTTTAAAAATTTTCTTCTATCTTGTATCATCACGAAGTTATATTTAAAAAAATAAAAATAATACCATTTTCCCTCTCTTCAAATGACATTCCATCAATAAAAAAATTATTATATTGATCTTGATAACACAATTTATTGGTTGAACTTTGATAAACCGTATGAAGACTTTTCTAAGATTAATTGTAAAATTTAAAATTATCACAAAAGTATTAACCGCACAATACTATACAAAATTACAAATTCGATAAAAGGGATGGAGGATTTGATCAAAAACACATCGAATAGGTTTGGCAATTGAGAAGGAAAATTTGCAATTGATCCCTCCTGATAAGAGACGCCCCTATTTCATTGCCACCGACGAAATCGATCCCCCCACACAAGGACGAGTCGCGTACCAGTTTCGTAATTCAACAGCCGGAGGGAAATTTTTCTCGTCCACATTCCAGATACACTCGTAAATTCGGTTATGTCATTATCAGAAGGTGCGTCCCGTAAATCGAATGAAAGTGTTTCACGTTGGGTTGTGCTCTAAGGGCGCGTAATATGACCGTCCCATGCTACGTCTTGGCCGAGGGTGAACTCTGGAGGAACGGTCGATCTGCCAGCAGCAGACGCTTCACCAAGGGTTCAACTTGATTTACACCTCCCTTCTTGCTTTCTTTCTCTTCTTTCGTCGGTGGCCCAGGAAAAACGTTCGATTCTTTTTCGAGAGGGACCAATTTGGATGGGTTGAAGGAGCCGAAAGTGGAGAACGATTTCTCTTTAAGTATTTAAGAGTTCTTCAATAATAAAGTTTATGATTTTATTTGTGTTATCGCGTGGCCAAAAAGAGGAGAGGATTCTCTCTGTTTGATATTGTTTCTTGACGATTTGCTTTATTCGAGTTTGAAGTTTGAAACGAATGATTCTCGTTAATTTGTATCGTTAATATGCTATTGTTATTGTATACTTGTCTAATACTATTTGAGCAACAAGTGAATTATACTACTTACTTGTTTATTAATGTCTTATACTCTGTTTATTTAAAAAGTTTAGAAACTTGTATTATTTCTACAATTATAACTGTCTCATTTATTTGATCGACGATCTATAATACGTGAGTGATTAATTATTTGATCAGAACTAGCTCATTCCTCGTGCCTGATGATCTATAACATCCATAACGCTTCTCTAACTATAACTCTCTTAAACTACTTGGTTAATAAATGAACGACTTATACTACTTGTAACATGTGGCTAACTACATAGTTAACTAAAACTGGCTTATCTACGCTATTAAAAAACCCTAATTATCTCAATCTATTTATTTCCAACAATCATAACATTCATCTGAATTTCATAAATATCGTAAATTTTTATTTAAGAAAAAAAAATTGAACGAGTTAAAATATTTATATCCCTTTAAATTATTTCATTGCTCGAATAATTTTTCAACTCCCTCAACGTTTAATGTTTAATCACGCGAATTTCTCTCGATGGAAAATAAACTCCTTTGATTACCGTCATTTTCCGTATTTGCGAGGTGACAAGAAGATATCCACGATATCTCTGTTTTTCCTCGAAACCGTTAAAAAGGCAACTTCCGCTTCTACACAATTTTTGTTTTCTGTTCCAGCGTGAAGACGGACATGGGCGCCAGTGGCGCGATATCCAGGCTCTACATTGCAAACGCGAATAAAAAAGACAGCGGGAATTACAGTTGCGCATTGGCGGATGTGGCGGCCGCCACCACGGTTTCCGTCCACGTATTAAATGGTACGTATTTGTTTATCACGCGTGGTTCGATTATATCCAAGCGTGTATTTGTCCCTATTGCATGTCTCTTTATGTTTTTTTTCTTTCTTTCTTTTTTTTTTTTTGCAATTGGTCAAGCGTGCATGCTCGGGTGTGATGTGTAAATTTGCGAGATACGTGTTTGCGTAAATGGTGGCCATTTTAGTAATTGAGCTCCGTGGTAAAAGTTTGCTTGGGTGATTTAGTGACGCCATTGTTCATTTAGCACTTTTGGTAGCTCGAATTTTTTTCCACCAGGAATGGAAAAGATTTACGATTTTTAGACAAGTTTGAGAATATTTTCTGAATTTTGTGGCAAGTATTTATTCTATTCCAATTCTATCTGTCTTATTATTTGGATTGTTGTATTTTTGGCCTGTCTTTGATAATAATTATTGTGAGATTAGAATTTTTGGCTCGATCATTCGAGAATAGAAATTGTCTTTACAATTGTAGAGAAATACGTATACGCGAGTGTAAGATTTAAGGAATTTAGAATATGATTTTTCATAATAAATCACGTTGACAGAAATGAAATTTTAAGAATGATATATTAGAGTGAAATATCGCTCATTGAAATGGCGAAGCAAAATGATTAACGAGACAAACGAGGCACTATATGTACTAATGGAAATTCGAAATTTTAAAATATAAACTATTGATGGAAGAATAGTATTCTTTCTATAATCTTCTTCACGAGAATTGTAGAATTAAATATATCATGAAATTTTCATGAAATTTTTCGATAAATTCATGCTCTTTCTTTTAATATTCTAACAGACAAAATCGATTATTGATTCAATCCTTTGTCGAATAATCCCGAAAAGAGCTCCCCAATTTCAATTTTCGATGGAACATCAAATGGAAATCAAAAGAAAAGAAAAATTCTAAATTTAAAAATTCTCGGTTATTATTTTAAACCGTGCAAAAATTGTGAATATTTAAAATCCGTGTAATTACACATTAATTATCCATTTAATAATTAACCTTCGTATCTGCAAAACATTATCATTATCCGTGCTTTCTCATTATTTTTATACGTGAACATTATTTCCATTTCATTTTCTATTAAATTTTTGACCCCACATTTGGCTATTCGAAAACAAGTTTTATTCCTTTCAAGTACGCCCACTAATCGTGCAATACCTTTTATGGAAAACTTTGAATGCGCGTCAAAGTAAATTATGCGATGTAACAGGAAATTATGCATAACGACCACGCGCGAACCACGTTCAATATCGTGTCTTGTGAACCTGTACAGGAACAAAAATACCGAGACACGAAATTGATATTTCCAAGCGAACTCGATAAAAATTATTTAGATATACAGGCTTATAACATTTATATCGAGATATATATATAGAGTTTTGTAGAACGGATCTGTTTTATTTGTTCGTTCTTCAAACTAAATCCAGGATGTTGAAACAATCGACATGGTGAACAGAGGAATCGAGGAACACGGATCAGGTTTTAGGTCGATTGTCAAATGCGTGTATGCTTCGTAAATTTCAGAAATAACTTCTCTACATTCGTGTGTTTACACGTGAAATTTCGTGGCTGTATAATGTATATAGATAAATTCAGAATTGGATGTAAATTAGGTAAATTAAATTCTACGTAATTAGAATATTCATAGGCGTCTGATAAAATATTTTGATCAAATGTTAAAATTATTTTAAAGAATTTTAAAAATCTATTTATTTATTATCGATAATCGAAAAAAATGTGAAGCTCGCAGAAAAAAATATGAATATAAAAACGAATAAAATACATTCGTTCTCATTTCGAATATTGCGATTTTGTTTAAAAAATTATTCGTCTTCCCAGGCTTTTTGCGATGACGTTGAAACGATGAAAACGTTTCAGGTTAATTGGTCGAAACAACAATTCACTTCTTCTGAGCAGACACTTGTTTACCTCTATTCGATTTATGGAGATTGGAACAATCTTAGAAAGAACTTAATTTCTTAACGCGAGGCGAGTTCACCACTCGATAACAATGTTCCGTCTCGCAATTGTTGCATACAATTTCTTTGTGCCTCAACTTCGAAACGAAACGGTCTCCTCGTTACAATTAAATTCTCATCGGCTATTAAGTCGGCAGAAATTTTCAAATTGTCGACGACGTTTCGTTCTACGTGTACGTTTCTATTCTGATAAATTTCTCCCAACAGAGAATAAAAATCTCTTTCCCAAAAGATTATTCAATTGTAAGAATTTTTCTTCTATAGGAAAACACCGATTGAAAAATATTTCATTCGAAATTGATCTTATTTTTATCCATTATACGGAGAATTATTAATCAACAGTTCTATTAACGTTCCTCGTGGAGAAGATATGTTCGTGTCAGAGACAATAGTTAACGATACACTGAGTGTTCCATTCATTATATTGTATATTGCGTTACCATTTTCCCTTGTTCAGCGTTTTCTCTGGACTGCGTCCAATTTTCTACACGGGACCACCTGCCTTTTTTCCTCCCCGATCTCCTTTTTCCTCTTACTAATATTAAACTTCGGTATCCAGCGGGCTGGTATGTGTGTTTTTTACGCGGAACGTCGACTTTGGTTTTAAGAAACTTTGTAATTTCGTAGGTAACGGTGTCGTATAGTATCGATAACGAACGTTTTCACTTAAGGCTGGATGATGTAAATTACACTTACGAGTCTGCGAAAAATATTATTATATCGAGCATAAAGTTTTTTTTCACACATATATATATATATATAATTACAAAATCCTTTTAAAATGAAATACGATACGAGTCGTGTTCGATTAACTTGGAGCATTAAATCGACGCGCAAATACACGAGTGTTGTTTAATTTACTCGTTAAATTTTGAATGATTTTAAACAGTTTGGAAATTAATCATTTCATATGCAACGATTTAATATTGCATACATTCATGCTCGTTTGTTCACATTTGATGACTCGCTGGCGATTACATATCCAACGCTACGAGCTTTGCGATTGGCCAGTGTTTTTCATAAAAACATCTTTGCAAAGAAAAAAACTTGAAATCATATACTTATTTATTCAAAACTCTTCTTATTACATTAATAACACTTTCAATAATTTATTAAACATGGCCAATGGCAATCGAATCACATAAAATTGGCACGAAACACACTAAGTAGCTCAAATTTCATTAAGAATAATACTTCGTCAAATGAACGAACAAATGAAACAATGATTTTCCGTTCTCCCACGAGAGCCTCAATTGCGAGAAAAATTACGATCTCCTTCGTGTCGTGAGATTGCGCGAAAAGAGAGCTGAATCGGAAGTTGTTCGTGCCACTTCAGGCCGGCGTGCTTAACACCAGACGGTAGGCTATTTTCTTCCCGCGGATGACGTTGTCGGTTATGTAAATGTCTCGAGGGAAATGAAAATCGAGATGAAACGGAGGAAGAACCGGCAATCGAGCGAGCCGTCGTTCGCAGAATTTTCATGAGATCGTGTCACGTTTCATAATTTCTTCGATTATTCATCCGTATTCAGGGTTAATACATAAACAGAGAAAGAGAGAAAGAGAGAGAGAGGGACAAGAAGAATGGAAGGGAGGAGCGATAATGGATAGAGACTACGGAGAATCAATTATCGACCGTGCAAAACGGTGGAAAATTATATCTAAGGGTGGCCATAACCTTTCGTTTTCCTTCGAGCCTCCCAAACACCGTTATCAGTGAGGAACAGAGCCCTCTGCCTTCGCTGTAACACGAAGCATACGCGGTCTGTAAACTCGACAGATGACCCTTCCTTGGATCTGAATTTTCTAAAGCGTTTTATAAAGATGAGTCGATGGTTTGATTCGATTTGGACAGCAAATTGAAGAAGAAGATCAGAAAAGTGTGATATAAAAGATTGAAGAAGATTTTTATGAGTAATGATATTTTGAAGTTGTAATTGAGATTAAAAGAAGCTCGTTTAAATATTAAGTATATTTTTGTGATAAATGTTTTGTAATTTCTATAAACGTTATTAATTTCAAATTTTGTACAATCTTAATGATTATATCTTATAGTATCTTATTAAAATTGTATATATAATATAATCTTCTTTAGTACACTTCTTTAGACACTTCTTCTTTAGTACACATATTTCAATTATCTAAAGTTTTAAACGATGCTTGGGAAATTATCTTCCTGTGAAATAAATTGAATTAAAATTTGCACAAACTTTTTCCTTCTTCATAAAATATTCCAACTATTTTATATTATTGCAAATGAGTAAAGATACTTTTCTCAATAAGTTGGTTAGTAAGTTGATTAATCATTGCGCTAAAATCTTCGACGCATCATCGTTTCCTCTTCATTCAATCCAAATTTAAATTATTCGTAATTTCATAAACGTAATTAAACAAGCTTCAATCGACATTTTCATCGATATTTTGGAGAATCAATCTTCCAAAAACATCTCATTAATATATCGACAATTGCGCGCAGCTTAACGATGGTAAACGAAAAACATAAACAGAAAGTTCAATGATGGTTATAATAACATGTGAACATCAACAACAACAACAACAACAACAACAATAATCTACAGAGTTTCTCACTCCGCCATAATTAACTGTCCTGTCAAACAATCCAATAAACAATTTCCAATCATCGTTCAAACAAAAATTTACGATAAATCTCCTCCCACTTAAGTTGCAAACTTTTTTTGTATATCGCTAAGTTTCAAATTTATACTCCTATCTATTCGCTCGTTCGCTCGTTCGTTCGCCTCTTCAGCTATGCTTTCTCGTTTTCCTTCCGGTTTCCGATCCTCGAGGTGTTTCGTATGCGACTTGCTGCTCATGCATGGCGTATTCATGGAAAAGTTCGTCGAAGATATTCAACCGACCCATTTTTCTCCTCCATCTCTTTCGACTTCGCCGAGTTTTCTTCGCGATCTCCTCTTCCCTTTCATCCTCTTCCTTTTCCAATTCGTCGCGATTTCGCTCCCCTCATCTTCCTCACCCTTTGTATATTTCGTCTTT